TTTGAAGACTTTAATTGAGATTAAATAGCATAAATAATTAAATAAAGTACATTTTTAATAGCAACATAAAATGTAAACTGACAAAATTAATTTTCACACTCGTGTTTGTCAGAATTTTTTCTAATTTTAAACTCTACTTCAATAAAAACCCTCATATTAAACTTCAAAACAACAAGCTAGAAATTCAGGTTTAACAATTTAATATGATTTATTCAAGCAGTAAAATTCTCCTGTAGCGGACAAGCATGTTATATAACACATATGAACGCTTGAAAAAACGATTTGTGGGCCGCTCCTGCAATTATGCTCAGGGCCAGCACAAAAACGTTTTATCTTTTCATGCATAAAAAACCTGAGCACGCCATTCCAATATACCAGTCTCATATAACAAGGGACCATGATGAATATTTATCCTTACACTCAGAGCATACAGACGACGGTTTATTAGTTGAGCTTAACACCAGATTATTATTTACTTTTCTAAAATTATCAACTCTAGCATGTCGTAGGGCCATTGTTATTATTTGCTTGAATATCAAATAATATGTTATATTTGTTTAAAACAAATATCTGATGCATATTGCAAGCAGTGCAAGTTGATTTGAAAGTTATATTATTCAATACTATAATAATATGCTTAGCGTTTTTATTTTGTAAAAATTCTAATTTTTCAAAATCACATTATATTATATAATGATATCAAATTGGAATTAATAATTTGAGGAAACAAACATAAGTGCATTTTTTTTCCACATCTAAAATAAAAATTCATCAATTATGCTATTTGGCCATGAACCATTTTTTTTTTGCATATTTTCAATTAATCTAAATTTTTTTTTGTTATTTCTTTAAAAGAATCATTTTAAATTATTCGAGTTGAATTGAAAGTTATATAATTCAATACTATAATAATATGCTTAGCGTTTTTATTCTGTAAAAATTAAAATTTTTCGAAATCACATTTTATTATAATGTTATCAAATTGGAATTAATAATTTGAGAAAACAAACATAAGTGAATTTTTTTGTCCACATCTAAAATAAAAATTCATCAATTATGCTATTTGGCCATGAGCCATTTTTTTCTTTTTTTTTTTGCATATTTTTAATTAAAATCTAAATTTGTTTTTTGTTATTTCTTTAAAAGAATCATTTTAAATTATGACGAATCATTAACTTGAAAAAATAAACAGTATCTGAATTAATTAGGGAGAATTAAGTGGTAAAAAAACCAAGTTAAATTTCAGTCAAAACTGGATGATGTTGATTTATTTATTGAATAGAGAATAAATAAATGAATTTCTTGATCCGCCTGAGTCTCACTTCGACGATGTCCCCTCTCCGTTCTTGTTCACACCCAGCCTTCTCAGCCTCTTCAGAGCTCTTGAATCCACAGCATATGACAGTTGAGATGTTCATCTGCTTCAAGGAGCCGCGGTCTCTTGTTGGTGCGAGGGCACTGCCTCTCTTCCTCTTCTCTGCTCTTAAATCCCTCTCCAAGTCTCCAAACTGGGCTGTTCGGTCGTGCGCTCGGAATCGCCGACCCGCTCGCTGCCAATTGGACTGTCGTCCTGCGTCTCGTCCTGCGTGACTCCCGCTGAGGTGCTTTGCTTGCCACAAAGCTCTTGTCTGTATCCTCGGCGGCCAGATCTTCAGTTGGCGTGGTGGTCACTAGCAGCAGCCTCGTGGCGTTGCTGAGCCGGACGCTCACGGTCTTGGGCTCAACGCGGCCGTCCTTCAGTGTCAGCTGAATGTTCTCGCCCACAGATGCAGCGAGCAGATCTTGCAGCTTGTTTTTGACCTCCGATTTTTCGGCTTGATTGAATGCGTCGGTCGTCCCAAAGGTGAGACGGACGAGGCGATCGGCAGGTGAATAACTTGGAGTTTGACCTTCGTGTTGGCATCGGCAATGGCGAGTTTCCCGCAAACCCTCGGCGGATCGAAGGACGAAGGACGACGCTCTTGGTGACAGCTCGGGAGAATCTGTCAAGGCCGGTGATGACGGATTGGCCGTTGAGTTCGTCGGTGATTTCGAAGAGCAGCTGCTCAACGGCGATTCCATCCCGAGCTTCTTCATCTCGGCGAGCACGTAGGGTTGCAACTCAAAGCCGAGGACCACGTTGAGGCCTTGCAAGGCACTTTCAAACCATCCCATTTCCATGAAGATCGGATTTTTGTCCAGGAATTCGGCTTTCAAAAGTTTACCCCTCGGAGGTGCCATCTCTGAATTTTGCTTCAACAACAAGAATTTAACTTTTAAATCTAGCAACAATAGAAAAAGGCGAAAGAAAGTTTCCGTTACGCAACAATCGCATTAGATTCGATTATTTAGAGATTCTTTTTACTCAAAAAAAAAAAACACAAACGGTAAAGTTATACTAGGGTTTGTGTTTTTTTGTAAGCAATGCAAGTTAAATTGAAAGTTAAATATTATGCTATACCATAATTATGCTTAGCGTGTTTATTTTGTAAAATTTTTATTTTTTCACAATCGCATAATATTATATTTTTATCGATCTAATTAATTATTTGGAAGAACATTATATAACCAACAAAAGTAGTGCAATTTTTTTGTCAACATGTAAAAAAAGTAAAAAAGTAAGTAAATAACGCTATTTGGCAAAAGTTTATTTTTTAATTATTTCAATTTATTTGCCATAATTAATAGCAAAATATTAAAAAAATTATAAATTATCTAAATTATTTAAGGATCTATAAGTGCAGGTCATAAAATTGAATTAATGATGTGAGGCAAAAGTTTTCCTCGATTTATAAAAAATACTGCTTTAAAACAAAAAATCCAATAATAATTCGCTCCATTAAAAAAAAGGGAGGCCTGGGAGGCTAACAGGTTGACTACATCGCCCGGCAGTGGGCGCTCTTAATGTGTTGATGTTTTGCCAGCTGGCTCAGGCCGCCGTGGCCGGTGCGACTTTTACTCCAAACAGAAACATTCTGACCAATCTTTTTCGCTTCTCTTACATTTTTAAAAATACGGACAGTATTTATCTTTAAACCATGGGTGCTCGTTGGAAATTTATTTAAATATATTAGCAAAAAATTAAGCGGTGGAATGGGCGACACCGTAGATTACATGCTGGACGACGAGCACCAGCAACCCCTTCTGGTTCCTATACTTTTATGCCGTTGTTTATTAACAATCAACTCATTTTGAAAATTTCTTTAAAGGTCAACCAGTCGGAGGACGACGAGGAAGAGATTGAGGTGTCGAGCATCGACAGACGACGACGAACAATGGATTCAACCATCGGTACTGATCCGAGAGACCTGGAGGGCTTCACCTTCTTCTACTGGCTCGCCCAGGGCCTAGGTGTTCTCTTGGTGGTGCTCGTCGGCATTTGGACAACCCATTATCGTGGCGGCTTTGCATGGAGCTCTGACCCCAAGCTTGAGTTCAACTGGCACCCCATGCTTATGACCATTGGCATGATCTTCATGTACGCTAATGGTATGAGGAGGAGTGACAAATTATCTTTTTGTTTGCTCTTTAATCAAATTTAATACTTTTGTTATCAATTCTTCAAACATTGGAAGACTCAAAAGCAGAGCAGCACTGCTTGTTATGCATTTTTATCTGTAAATATTTATTTAAGCTCTTATATAACATTTTTTATATAATTTTTTTGGAAATACTTATTTTATTTCCTACATAAATTATAATTTTTATTTGTAGGAATGATGCTGTTCCGATACATGCGTTACCATCGCAAGCGCCAACTGAAAGTTTTTCATGCCACCTGCCACACACTGACCTTCCTGGTGACCGTGATTGCCCTGTGTGCCGCTTTTGATTCGCACAACCTTGCCATCCCACCGATTCCCAATCTCTACACATTACACAGCTGGATTGGTCTCACAGCAGTCATCCTCTTTTGCTGCCAGGTTTGATTTTGTTTTTTAAACTCAGAAGGTATTTTAATTTACATTTTAAATCTTCTTCAGTTTGTCGTCGGATTCTCGACGTTCCTCTTCCCGGGTGCCAAGCAGTCCCTCCGAGCGGCTCTGATGCCTGTGCACCGGTACTTTGGAATGCTGGGCTTTGTCCTCTCCATCGCCGCAGCCCTGATGGGCCTTCTCGAAAAGGCCATTTTTACATCAGTGTAAGTTTTGCATTTAGTAGAAATTCTCACAAAATTTCAATAACTTTTTGCACAGGCCTGCCTACCAAAGAATGGAAGGAGAAGGACTGCTGATGAACTTCATAGGCGTGGTGCTGGTAATCTTTGCCGCCGTTGTGATCTACGTCGTCTCCAATTTTGGCTACCGTCGCATACCGATGTCTGAAGATGAAACCCTCCTGACAACCGAGTCCCAAATGGGATAAAATGTTTAAAATCACCTCGATGTCTCCTCTCATATCATAGAGCAACAAAAATCACAGCGTTATTAAATTTTGATATGTTAATTTACTCCGTCACGGTTGTGTTCCAGCTGCTATTATTGTGATCAAAAAAATTATGTCTTAAGATGAGTTATCTTGTACTGTTTTGTGTGTTTATTGTACTTATATAGCAACAGGAAAGAGTTGATTGCAAAATTTGATTATCCAGGGAAATGAATGAGTGGTAAATTCAAATTAGTGCATCAAGTGTATGCACGAATCAGACATGAAACTGACAAAAAAAGACTGTGGCAGGTCTATTATTTTTGCCTGTACCTCGACATATTTTTGTGGGAGAATTTATAAACGTGTTTTCATTCCAATCAAATTAAAAGAGAAATGAAAACGCGTGCTTAATAGAAAATATACTACTGTGTCTATTGCTGAAAATTAACCATCAGTGCTTTTGCAGCATTCCTCTCTCATTTTGTTCAATTTCCCCCTCCGTTATTATGTAATGTGTCAGTACAAGAGCGCGTCATCAGCACTGATGAGTTTTCAGGGTGTATTGTTTAACAATACAATGAAAATTATATATCGCATAAAATGTTAATTATGATAATCTATATATATATTAAAGTTATGTCTGCAGCACAAAAAATCCGTCTTTCTATGAAATTTTTATTATTATTGAAAAATAAAATGAAAAAGCACAAAGCTAGCAGCAGAAGAGAACTTGGTCAACAGGAACTTTGAATCCTCTCGAGAATCTGTTGAAGGGGGTAACAGGATTTGTGAATCTACGGACGGCCTCTCTGACGTCGTGAGGGGTCAAAGGCTGGACGAACTCCACTTTGCCGGAAGGAGCGTCATATCTGGGATCCTGTCGATAAAAATTTAGAAATGAACACTAATGATTATTATTATTTTTTCCAATTCTTACATGAGGTTTGAAGATGGTCATTGGAACGTAAAGTGAGGGTGGCAGAAGTCTGTTCATAGGATTTGTGATGGACGCGTTGCAGTCCCGCCTCACTTGCAGAGCAAAGTCCACCAACTGGCACAAGGTCTCGTGGGCAAGGTAGCCGAGCAGCTCCATGTGAATTCCATGACCAAGCGGAAGTTGTGGTTGACTGGTTTTTAACGGAAATTATTAGCATTTAATCAAAGTATACAATTTCATTTAAATTACGATGCATCGCCAAGGAAGTTGCCATCATTGAAGATCCACTCTCTGAGCTTGAGGGTGTTGTTGTTGTTGCTCTGGGTGAAGGTCACTCCTCTGGCATGTGAAAAGTTGATGTACTCGTCTGCACTCATGGCAATGGACATCTCATCAGCCCGGCGCAATCGCTCCTCCTTGATGTGATCCACGACCAGATCATTGTCCACCCAGGCCATCAACTGGCCAGTGAAGTCCATCGAGAGCAGAAAGTCTTTGCACAGATTGCGTCGCTTGCCTGACGATGCCACCTTCTTCTCCACATTGCCGACGAGATCAGTGTATATGCTGCTTTTGGTGTCACTGAAGCCTATTCGAACAAACAAATTATAGAAGAGAAAATGCAATTTGTAACAAACGACTTACACAAAAACTTGATGGCTCTGCGCAGCTTGTAGCGATCCTTTCGCATCAGAAAGAGCATGTCCTCTGGTCGGATGTACTTGGCTTCTCTCAATTCTGCAACTTCCTGGGCCTTCTGCAGCAGAAGCACCATCTGCTTGTGCACAACCTCCTCGATCAAATGGGCCGTTTCAAGCAATGGGCTGCGACTGTCCCCACTTGCGTACATCATCCTCTGGATTTCTGCAATACAAAAATTATAAGCTTACACTAAAGTTATAATCGTAGAATGTACCAGTTTCAAAATAGAAGGCTTTTCCCTCTGCTTGGATCATTTTGCTTATATTAAAGATGAGAAGGAAACAAATGTACAAATGAAGTGTGAGAGGATGCGGTCTAGTTAGTAGGCCTGTGGCTTGCTCTGCGTGGGCAGGATGCCGAAGCGTTTCTTGATCAAAATCCTCTGTTCAGAATACTTGTCTTCAGGGGTGAAACGAGCTGCGAAAATGAAACTTGTGACTTTGTATGCGTGTTAATGAACAAATTTACCAGGATGGGCTGAGAAGGTGGGAGTCACTTCACCATTAATGGTCACAGTTTGCTGAAAATCAAATTGAAAAACATGAAAAAATGGAATGCTCTGACAACATGCGTGATTTTAAAAATTGTAAACAGAATCAAAAACGAAGATATACATACGTTGAGCGTGTAGACGCGTTCGCCTTTCTCGTTCAGGTAGTATCTCAGAAGCATCTTCAATCAAAGTCGGGCCGAAATTGTGTAAAATCGCCGAGCAGCCGATGATTTCCAACTTCCAACACGTGCGGCTTTTTTTAGGCAAAAGGAAAAGGGCACCAAACACCCGTAGTACGCACGCAGGCGCAGGTCGTAGTCGTAAAACCAACGCTACCAACCCAACAACCCATTGCAACAACCTCATTACAGCACCATTTGACGTTGACCTTGAATATAAGAATAACATTACAAGGTCATGCGATCTGATCGCTACAATGAGATCCCGGAGCCACGCCCCCTTCCCTTGGCGCGCCATGCGCCATCTGGCAACTCTGCCGCTCGACTCATCATTATTTTTCGATCTTCATTTGGGTGACACAAATTTTAGTCCGCGAGCCATCAAATTCGGAGAGCTGTGATGGGCAACTTGTGCTCGTGCTGCAAAAAGCAGGTATGATGTGGGCCGAATTCGGCTCGGGCAACCTTCCGTCTCGCACGTTAACCCCTTTTCCGAGCTATTCGTCGGGCAAATCGGGCCGCGAGCCGAAGCGAACGGCTTGCAATTAAGTGGCGGGCCCAACTACTCCGCCCTGTTGCATTCCCGAGACGTTTGTCGAGAATTCTGGCGCGCCGCCAAACCACCGGCCGCATTTTTGAGCCTTGGACTTGTTAAAATCACAGAGTGGAACGCGATCGGCCTCCGGTTCGACGCTGGAAGCCGAATTCCGAGGCGAAAAGGGTGCGACCGCCCTGCGCTTTTGTCTCTTTGTTAGTCGCGGGGGCGGGTCTGAGAGTTCAGGGGTCGCGAACTGACCCTTTCCGAGCCTCTGAAATAATTTGGTCCAGCTATGTCACGAAAAGACGAGAAATTATCTAATTGTGTCTTTTATAAATAAATTCATAAAAATCCAAAAAGTGATACAAAAATAGGTGCTGTCTGCTGTGATTGCGTTACTTGGTAACAGTACTCGTAGTCCGTGTGTTGAAACGCCAAGTTGTGGTTTTAAAACGGTTAGTTTATGCGGTTTGGCAAGGCGATAACCAATTTGGAACGAATTTTTTTAGGTTTGGGACGTGCAAAGACTAACGAAGCGCAAATTCTTTCCTCGAAAGCAATTCTAGATGTCTTTAATTAAAATTAAAATTTAATTGTTTGCAACTTATGTTAATTAATTAAAATTTTCCTGAATAATTTCAGAACACATTCAATTTGAAATCATGGATTATTTCAAATCCACATCTTCAGTGTTAATTCCAAGTGCCGAAATAGAAATCAGGTTAGAAACGAAGTTTGTTTCATTCTCCGATGTCTTGAAAATGCCATGAATAATTTTTTATGAATTGAGACTTTTTAATTTGAAAGTTAATTAAGACCACTTTGACAAACTCATTTCAATGTCGTTAATTTTTTATCTTGAAAGGCTTGATGATGAGGTTTTTTTCAATAACAATGAACTTAATCATATTCAGGGCGTTATCCTTTGATATTATTTGAGTTAAATTAGTGTAATTATTGAATAAATTTCTTGAGTCTCGGAAATTTATTATGAGATTTTAAGAATATTTCTAATCGCAATATAAATTCTTTGCTTTTGAAGACTCTGACTATCTCATTCAGTTAGTTCTTTAATTTTTTTCCATTAAATTGTTATATAAAATTTTAATACAATTTTTATTTGCAAAATAATTTTTTATATTGTTTTAAAGTTAAGTTTTAATTATTTATGATTCTAACGATGGTCAAAGAAGCAATTAAATTATTTAATTTTTTGTAAACACCCGACCAATTTAGCAATTTAGTTTGCAATGTGTCTTTTGATTAACTTTCTGTTATTATTTGGCGGTCACGTCCAATTAAAGTCAAATGGAGCAAAGCCAGTGACAATCGTGATGGTCTGACAATCTTTCCATCAACATCTGCCGCGAATTAGATCCACCCGCCGCTCCACCCGATGTGTGCATATTGCAGAGAGTGTCATGTCTCTATTTATAGCCGTAAATGCTCGGGATGGAAAGCGAAAGAGCCTTGAACCGCGGCGTGATCCTCTTGCTCGCTCGCGGTATCTCTTTCTCGCGGCTATTTCTGTTTGGCCTGCTAAATCAACAGCCGCCGTCAATATTTGTGTCTCGATTCCAAAGTCGCTTGAAACAAATCGCTGCACCCCGCGGCTCTTGTTTTTGCAGCGCTTCGTTTGCGTATTTTTTTAGCGCTCCCGTGCAAATCGTGCGCGACGGGTGACATTCAATACGCGCCCTCATTCCTCTCCGCCTCGTTTTCTGCCTCTCTGCCTCCGATCTCACGCGCCCAGGTGGAAAATTGTTCCCCTTTGGCCATTCAAATCTTTTATTCAAATTCAACGAATCTCTCTAATTTATTGAGAATTGTTAAGTACAAGCATAGAAAAAAATTAAGAGTCGTTGGAATTGTGCTTTAAAATAAAAAGATAATCACTGTCGATCACAGTAAAATTTATGTTAATTTATTCTTGTAGGAAAATTTTCAAATAGTTAATTTTGGAAGAAAAAAATTTTAAAACTTTTTAGAGGATAATTTTTTTGAAAATAGAAAAATCCTATTGTTTTGCACAGTTTTGCTAAATTTAAAATTTCCATTTAAAAGTTAAAATTTTTATATTTAAAATATCCAAGCATTGTTTTTTTACTCAATTTCTGAATCCACGTTAACTCTCTATTGAAAATTAAAACAGAAACTGGAATCCACTTTTAAAAACGCAATCGAGACACAATTCTACACAGAAAATTAACAAAATTTTAATTCTCTCTATTGTCACAAAATTCCAACGTTCCTCAAAGCTCTTCTCGTTGCCGCGATCAATCTATCTTGGTACTTCAACGCAGAGGTGTCCGCGGTCTGGTTTGCCGGTTGCACTTGGCAGTCGGGCTTGAGTTTTCGCACGCAGTAGTGCTGCAATTGCGCTTCGTGCAGTCCAAACTCATAATATTCGCCCCAGTCGACCGCAGACCCAGACTCGGCCAAATAGGATCTGCTGTAGTGGTTGTGCAGCGCGAAGACCGTTTCCGTCGAGTGGAACGACTTGACGTAGTAGCCAGGTGGCGACGGGTCCACCCTGCGCACCACGTTCTGCAAAATGTGCATGTAGGGAGGAATGTCCGGAGAGGGCGACCATCGAGTTTCGCTCGAAATGTCCATGAAATAAACGTTGCGCGCCACAAAGTTGGAGTACGTGACATTCTTGATTGCCTTTGCTTTTGGAATCGCCATTTTAAATATCAGGTCGTGCCAGGTGTCCACACCGTTCAAAGGTATAATCACCTGTGGAACGAAATTTTTGTTCATCAAATTCGCACAGGGACCTCATTAAAGCGATGAAAATGATATTTTTATGATCATTGAGTTTTTGAAATTAATTTTTTTTTTATAAAATAGGTACCTCGTCAACGTCAATCAAAACCATGTAGCGGAAAGAGTTGTAGTATTTGTAAAAGCAGTCATTGTAATCGATCAAATCCTGGATCCACTGGTACATCCCGTTTTCGCCCATTAATTGGTTCATCAATTCAGGCACATTTGGGTAGTTTCCTGGCATCGTCATCGGTACAACGTCCACGTTCCATGTTTTTGAATAATATTCCAAAACCTTTGAGATATTTGGGTGCACCTATAAATTTAAACTTATTTTAATACAAATTTTCTGACGCATTAAAAATTTTTAATACCTGCAGTTGATAGAAAATTATTCTGTTTGCGCCCAAAATCCTCAGCAACTCGATCCACTCCACCAATCTGATGGCCATTTGGGGATGGTTATTGAAGTTCAAGCTCTTCACGCACACCGCGAAATCTTGCTTTTCTCCCTGCAGACGGTTGTCGATGACTCGTAGGTTGTTCGTTGCATTTTCGCACGGCTCCTGCACTATCGACACCGAGTCCGGCACCGTCCCAAATTTAGTGGGCACCATGCAGCTGAGGAGGTAGGGCCGCAGTGGAATGTGCAGGTAGCCCCACTCGGCCTTCAGCAGGTATTGAAAGTGGAAAACCTGTCCAATTTTTACACTTGAATATTTTTCAAAATTTATTTGGTAGAAAAATTAAAAATTTACCCTGACAATAATGGGTCTGGTGATGTTGGCGAACCAAAGCTGGCAGTAAACGTGTCTGGAAATGTTGAGGCCAACTTTGTCGATTATGGTCAGCACTCGGACCATCGGCGCAAACTTATTGGGCCAGGTGCGGTTGTCGTAATAGGCGCCGTACAGATAATAAGTCTCATTCTCCAAGGCTTGAACTTGCCAGTAAATATTATTGAATCTGATGTCCAATGGCTTGACATAACGGGCGCAAGAATTGTTAAACTGAGGCACGTCTTTTTGCCAGTGGAAGGTCATGGGCAGATTTGGATTGGTGCGCTTGACCTGAAATTTTGAAATTATGCAAGAAAAATTGAATCATTTTTTTTTTTAGATTTTTTTATGCTGGAAACACAAGAAAATTTCCTACTCACCCCTTCTATAATCAACTGTGGTGTGATATTGAATTGGTCCAATCGCAGTTTCTCTTCAAATATGTTCATGACTAAAATTTTTAGGCAGCATTAAAATTTCAATTTCCCAAAGTTATTTTATGGTTGTAATTTTCTTCTTCATTTAGAAAATAATCGTCTTACTTCTAAATTTGATTGTTTGGTTCACATCCAAAAGAACATGGCTAAATAAAATCGTGCAAACCGCAAAACTGATAAACACAACAAACACTCTTTTCAAACGTCTGTTACTCAATTTTGGAAGCATTTGACAAGGCGGTTGCTTGCCTCTTTTAAGAACTTCTAAAGCAAGGACTTTATGTTTTCAAACTACCTCGGAAGTGACGCTGTCGAAAAGCGTTTTCGTGTTTGCTATCTTTTTTAATTGCTTTCCACGGGCCCGCTTCACTTTGTACAAAATGAAGTGGGGTTTAAATTTTATCCATGAGTGATAGGGCTTTTATTTTGTAGTGCAATAATATGTAAAAAAAAAAATAATAAAATAAATCTTAAGTTATTAAACTTTAATTTATTTATTACTTTGAAGAATTGGCACTCGAGGAGATGATTATGGAAATAAAGAGATCAGGCTTTAACTTCGTTTATATTTTTTTTATTTATTCAAAAACACAGTTTCGGTCACGGTTTGCGACCCTATTTTATGGGCAAGAACAATAAAAAAAATCACAGCAAAATTGAAAAACAACAAATTAAAAATTAAATGAAAATTGAATTCTTGAACTAACAAATTCAAGTATTAATTTTTATGTTAAAATGTGGTATTTTTCAATTTTGCTGTTTTTTTTTTAATTTTTTTATTTTTATTTTTCATGCTCATGAAATAGGGTCGCGGACCGTGACGGAAACTGGTTGAACTGTTTTGATTTGGAATAAAAACAAATTTTTTCGCAATGAGGAAAAGCCTGATCTCTTCATTTTCATTTATTATTAATTTTAATGTTCAAAAAAAAAAAAAAAATAATAATTGTTTCTAATGTTTCTATCTGGTTTCAGGGCAAAGACCCGCCCAAGGATGGCAAAGGTGATGAAAAGGACGCCTCGGAAAAGAAGTCCGACGGCATGGAGATCCCGAGCATAGCGGACCAGGAGCTGCAGTACATTGACGAGGATCCAGGCGAGACCAAAAAGCAGCCAGAGGTATTGCATGAGTAAATCTAGGAATAATTTGTAATTTTAACGATCCACCGTCTCGCTCTCTTTCTTTCTAACGTGGTAGTAAATGCACCGAGCAGGTCCGCAGCAGCAGAAGCAACACCCCTGATGCCACCACACTCTCCTCCATGTGTAATTACTTTACGGACTGCACGCCTGCCACTGCTGTGAAGAAAGCATTCAACGTCGACGAGCGCATGCCAAAATTTGTGTCGCCCGGTGCTTGGGACTCGAGGTGACTTTGCATTGCCAACAACTGGACGACTGAGGCAGCACACAATTTTTAGAGAACTGATCAAACTTGACGCAGCCCCGCAGCACTCTTTCATAATGTTTCATCTGTCGCCTCATTAGTGACGGGAAAAGTGCCCTCTTCTTCGCCTCAAATTCTTGTAACATGGTGCTCTTGCCAATATTCTCACGGTACAAAAAAAGATGCATTTTGAAGAAGACCGAGGCGCATTTCCCGCCACCTTCATCACAATAACTCATCTTTTCGTTCACCTGCTTTTACCTGTTTGTGGAACAAAAGCCGTCGTGTCTGGTTCATTGCTAAATTTTGAAACAAATCACCGGATCAAGCACGCAGCTATATGCATGTACCAAGCTAATTGTCCTATATTTTACAACAACTATGTATAATATGTACAACTACTATTATGATTTTATCTGTCAGTGTTTTAATACTCTTCGTCTCGCCTCAAGACTAACTGCATTTATTTTTTGAAAAATTACATCTGCATACAAGCAATAAGATTATCAGCGCTAATTGCTTTTTATTAATGAATGGAACGAATTGACGACCACTGTTAGAGCACACACTTGATGAAATTACTGTTCAACAGGAGATACAATATACATGTGGTTCAGAATGGAAAATAATCCTATTTGCCAAGCACCTGCCTTGAATTTTAGCAGCGGATAGAAAAATAAAATAGGCTGCTTGCCTTTGGAAATTTTTAAAATTTGGCATAATACGAGTGCTGTTAAAAAAATCAATTGATTCGATATTATTAAAATAAAATGAACTTTGTGAGACCTTTAAATACTGTTCTCATCTCGTTTGCTTGGAGAATCTTATAAGTTATTGAGATATTGATGTTTACCACTAATAAATCCTAGGTAAGAAAAATGCCACTTTATTATTTTTTCCTTACCAATTTATTATCCTTAGCTTACATGATTTTTTCGTTTTTCCTACCTACTCAGAGTTTGCAGCAATTTCAGAATAAAACTTCCCAGTTCCTCATCCTGCAATTAAAAATCTTATTGAGATTAAGTTGAAAACAATCAGATTTAAATCTGACCTCATTTGTCCAAGAAACAAGAATGTTTTTCTTGTCATTCTCGGAACTGTCGACATTCACAATTACTGACTCTACAGATACTGCGCCATCCGTAAGCTGCACATTCCAATCTTCCAACCGACTAAAGGAAGCAATTGTAAAAAATTATTACACTGCAAACTTTGTTTTACCTCTTGATCATTTGGTGGAGTTTCTCTGCAGTTTTATTTGACGGTCCTGCGTCATCGACTGTGATAGTGGAAGAAAATCTGAGCACATGTCGAGCGATGCCTGCTTCTCTGCATGCCTGTTCTACGTCCATTAGACACATGGAGTGGGCCTGCAAAATAACAATACACTTTATTTCAGCTCTGATATCAAACTCGAGTGATGTACATTGTCCTTCATGACGAGAACTCCATGCAAGATACGCTGCTTCTTAGGGTCAGGTGGCTGTCCATTGTACGTTTTGGCTTCCGATTTCAAGAGGGGGAGGGAAACGTCCACCGAGATTGAGGGAATTGTGGAAATTGTGCTTGTTTCTCCATTTGCTGGTGTGTAGCAATTGACGCCAAATTCCTGACGAAAAAAAAACAATATTTTGTTCCATAATTTGGTTGAAATCAAAATGATCTTTGCACCTGTTCAATTTTGTCCTTTAAAAAGGTCATTTTGCCGCCTTCCCCGTGAACCAGCATCACATTCTTAGGCTCACAGTACTGAATCAACTGCATAATGCCCTTCGCATCAGCGTGCGCTGAGAATGACATGTACTGAAATACATAATGTAGAAATAAAAATTTACATTTTTTAAATCAAGCCTTTTTGTTACCTCTACGGACATTTTTACTTCAACAAACTGCCTGTTTTCGAATTCAACTCTTTTGGCTCCATTCAAAATTTTATGTCCAACTGTTCCAGCTACACAGTAACCAGGCATGATCACCTAAAAAATGACAAGTTGATAATGTATCAAACAAGTTGAAAAAATATGTACCATGTTGTTTTCATTTGGTGCCCACTTTTTGAAGATGGCCAGAGAGAGGCCGGCGTGCAACATTCCAGGCGTGGCAAACACTACCATGGGCCCTGGATTGTCGATGTAGGACTTGTCAAACGGTTTTATGTGCTTGAAGTCGAACATGTTACGCTGCACAAAGGTCTTTCTGATCTTCTGATTTGTCCATGTGATGAACATTTTGTAGTAATTGTTCGCCTTCTCTGTCAGACCAAGAGCAAAGTAGATCGGAGACTTGAGATTCATTCTTTCCCAGTAGGTTTCGAGAAGAATGCAAAGTTCTTGCGCTCGTCCAAGAGCAAAAACTGGAATCAGAACTTTGCCGCCTCGTTCAACACACTCATGCACCTTTTTGAGGAAATCTCTTTCTCTGAAAAGAAAATAATTGTGTTATTGTTTTAATAAAAAATAGTTAAAAATTAGCAAGCAATTTAAAAAATGGGTTCAAAGCAAATAATTAAATATTTCAAGAATAAAAATAATGACCTGCATCTTTTTGAGTCTCGAATGGTGGTGGCATAGGTAGATTCTGTGATAAGCAGATCAGGTCTGCACTTGTCGATCCACGCAGCACCCAAATGCCTGTCTGGAGTCATGTTGTAGTCACCCTGGTTTGGAATTATAAAAAATTACAGAGAAAAAATATTAGAATAAATAATTTTACTGTGTAGACGACCGACTGAGATCCAACGGTGACCCTGAACATGCCAGCGCCGAGGACGTGGCCTGCATAGTAGGCCTTAATCTCAAGGTCTTTGTCCACCATGACGCTCTGGTGCAAAGTCACAGCAGTGACTTTCTTCATGCAGTCTTTGATGTTTTGCGAGGTGAAAAAGTTGCTTTCGCCTTTCCGTTCGACTGCAACTTTCCTCATGTCCTCCTTCAAGTGAAAATAAATTTTAGTCTGCTTGTTTTAATAGAAGAAATTTACCAAAAGAATGGGACAGATGGCCTTGGTTGGATGTGTCATGTAAATTGGTCCTGAGTAGCCAAACATTTCTGTTAGGAAGGGCAGAGCACCACAGTGGTCCAGGTGGAAGTGTGAGATGATGACGCAGTCGAGGTGATTGTCAAGAGGCCCTTCAGGCGCCAGGTAAGTGAAATCAGGGAATCGGCGCTGTAAAAAAGAGGTTTCTTTAAAACATGATTTGAAAATTTTTATTCATACTTCATCGTTAAAGCCCATGTGCATGCCACAGTCAAGCATCACGTTTTTCCCTCCGATCGAGAGCAAAATGCAGCTTCTACCCACATCTTGCCCGGCACCTGAAGACAAAATTCCGTTGAAAATGTAACATTTTTTTAAATTGTAGAATAAGTTTAAGTTACCAAGCGGCGTGACTTTGATGTCAGGCATTTTTCCTCCGATTAGCGATTAACACTGGTGTGTCTGGTGTGTGCGCATGCAACTCGTAAAAAACTAAACATAAATGGACCTAACTGTGTTTAAATTTGCAACTTTAAACACACTTATTTTTGAAAATATAAAATTTTAGCCGTCTGTCTGAACTCTCTGAAGCAACAAGCTCTGAAGCCTGGCCGTGTTTATTTTCAAATTTCAATGCTGCTCAGCCACCAAAACAACAAAAAGTGGTTCACCACGCCCACTTCTCGGCCAACGCGATGATCGTATTTATTTTTTAAATATTTTTAGCGCCAAAGCAACGTGATCAGTGTCAAACACGCACCGTCGCCGTATTTTATTAAGGAAATAATTATGTAAAAAGAAATATTATAAAAATGATAATAGGCATTTTGCACGAATTTTGATGTTTCTTAATTGTCAACCTACAAAATGGAAACAATCTATTTTCTACTATTTTCAGCATTATTTCAAAATCTTCGAACTTATTGAAATTTTTTACTTAAATATCATGATAATTATGTCTGCGTCTACATCTGATTTATTGATTTCATTTTCAAAATTTAAAATGAGAAAAAATATAGATGAGCATGGTTTAATTTTAAATTTTTGATGCCAAGTTATAGAGGATCAGGTTAATTAGATTAGAATAATATATTATGCCAAATCAGCCAAAACCAAATGCAAAGAAGTTGCAGATTCCGTTCTGGGGCTGATGCCATAATCGATTAAATAACATTAATTTAAACAGAAATGTTTAATATGGAAATTGCACATTTTATGGGCTCTAGCAATATAGGATCATCAAACATATTAAACTCATTGGTTTTTTTTAAGCAAAATTTATGCTTTTAAAGTTTTTTATTCTCTTTCCAACATCTTATAAATTTACAGAACACAGAAAGAATCAATGCACATACACACCCACTTCCAGTTAATTTTGGTTAATTTTAAAATATAATGTCATTAAAGAGCGCTTATCTACACACATCTACTGTTAAATAAAAAATAACAGAATTTACAGATTATGTATGAGCTGCAAAAAGGAAAACACACCAGTTCAATAACTGCAGTATGATGAGAAACTTTTCTCACGTTAATATTACTCGCTATCTCTTTACAAGAAACTTTGCTAAATTGTACTGAGGGCAGCATTAAAGATCAAAGATCGGCAATGCGTTAAAAAATAATCTTTGGGGTTATGGGAGATTCAGACCATATTCTCATTTAAATCAAGCTTAAGTTGCTTACATAGCACATAAATTATTAATTAGTGCAAATAAAGATAAGCCAATGGAAACATATAAGGGCATATTTAACTTAAATTAGCACATTCTAGTGCTCACTAGTTTTCAAGTATCAATTCAAGTCAATGTACTTGAACACATATCATCATAAGTAGAAGTTTAGCTTTGGAGAACACAAATTTATCCTACACTATTACACCCAGTTAAAAAAGTCACTAGTGATAAATTGAAAGTGCCTGATGTTTTGTCTTCCCACTTCCCACTCTTTTGGTGCAAGTCATCTTACCCTTGCAAGCTGGAGAGTACTTAAAAGTGTAAACTGTATCTTTAGGTGTATTTACTTTAATTTAACTGAAATAAGGCAAAATAATTTAACTATCAAGAAAAGGAAAACTCAAGTCTAATCGATGATAATGTCCCCATTGACCTGGTTGTTGACACCCTTTGCAATAGTTAGGGATTTCCTAATAGGATATGAGTGTTCAAGCGTGGCAAAGGCATCCCTTCCTTGGAAGTCAAAGGGAATCTTATCCCCAATACTTATGTAGACGAGGCTGGCCAGGCGCTCCTTCAGCAATTGAAGCAAGTAATCTTCGCGGGGGAAATTACTGCTGAAAAACAAGTTCACTGCCTCCTTCGGCTTCGAAGGCAGAAGAAAGACATCCGCCTGAGCGTCTGGCAGGACATCCAGGCTCTCGAAGAACCAATCGGGGACCAGCAGAGTGTCCTCTGGAGCCTGGTCTGTCATGTATCCACCCATGCCTGCGACAATCATTTTGCCATTGATCTTAATCTTGAGCGCGATGGAGTTGGCTTCATCTTCCAAGTCCAGTCTTTCCATCAGCTGCTCGAGTGGACCTTGAAGATCTCGGGAAAGGACTACCTTTCCGCCGAAGACGAGCGAGTCGAAATCTGCAGAAGTCTGAATTTCCGCCTTCGACGACATCTTGATGAGTTTCAGGTTTCTTCTAAGGAGGGTTTTCGGGATGGCCATGATTTCTGTAACATTAAAAAATGTGTGTTATATTTAAAACAAGATTTTTGTGAAGTATAATTCGTATCGTTTTTTTTATTAAACTATGGCTTTGAGTTAAAACAAGAACCATATCACCGAGAAAAAAGACCTGCAGGACTCGCAAGCATTTCATGTTAGACCGACTGGTCTCACATACTTGTGATTAAAAACCTGCACGCCTCCTTTAGTTAAATGTCGCTTGAAAATTTTAAAATACACGACTGTTATGCTTTGGTCGACAATGATCGAAAACCTGGTTAAAATTAGAGGAAAATATTCGTCGTTTTTGAAAATTTTCATGGCAATTAAACCAATTTTGTTATTAATAGACGTGCTGGTCTCATATTAGACTTTAAAAAGGCCAAAACGACCCCATTGCGCGTGATATCACACCAGGAGGACTAATATTCGCGTGATATTAATCCAGCCGGTCTATAATCAGTTTGATAAAAGACCAGCAGGACTCATATCACAGAGAAAAAAGACCTGCAGGACTCGCAAGCATTTCATGTTAGACCGAGTGGTCTCACATACTTGCGATTAAAAACCTTCACGTATCCTTTGGTAAAATGTCGCTTGAAATTTTTAAAATACACGACTGTTATGCTTTGGTCGACAATGATCGAAAACCTGGTAAAAATTAGAGGAAAAAGTCGTCATTTTTGAAAATTTTCATGGCAATTAAACCAATTTTGTTATTAATAGACGTGCTGGTCTCATATTAGACTTTAAAAAGGCCAAAACGACCCCATTGCGCGTGATATCACACCAGGAGGACTAATATTCGCGTGATATTAATCCAGCCGGTCTATAATGAGTTTGATAAAAGACTAGCAGGACTCCTTAGATATGGCACTGTGGTGCGCGTTAGAGCAGGTTTAATTAGTATTAATTATTTATTATTAAATGTGCATAGCGCCGGCGCGACTAGTAGAAGGCGCCGGATTCAAAACTAAGAGCTCGCGCAGTGACGACTGCAGCGCTCTGTTCTGTATCAATGGTGTTGAAATAAAGTAACACAACGCTCGAGACTTTTAAAAGAACCAGACGTGTTATATTTTCTCTCGCACTTCAACCCTCAGTTTATGGCGGACATCGACGCACTACCTTCGGCACTCCTCAACCTCAGGATGGCCGACCTGGCCATCCCCAAAACACCCTGGGTGAGGGCCGGTCCCGGGTCCCGGGAGTGTAAACCCCATCTCGAATGTAGTACTAGAGGACCGCTTTAACGGCCAGAGAGATAAAAATTTTCACGGGATTGATAAATTAAAAATTAACATATTTACAGGGCTATTCAGAACGTAATAAATAATAATATAATAACATAATAATAGATAATATTTGCAGCAGGATTCCCTGTTTGATCGGCACATTTACATTTTAAAATATTTTCCACGTGTACCACTCTATACTAATATAGTAATTAATTATTGTACTGACAGTAATGAACCAAATGTTTTTATGCTTGCACAATCCACTCGTGAGGAAATTTTTAAATTAACAGTTAACGTCAATTGTGTACTGGGAAAAAATATATATGGTTCAGAAAAAAAGAATTAGTTAAGCTTTACCAAATATCTGTACTTGCAAATTGATTTCTGAATAATTTTCTTGTGTTCCTTTCCAATATCATATTTGGACGGCAATAATGGAAAACAATTTGTTACAGTAACTCTTCTCAATTTTGCACGTTTTTCTGAGTGTAAGTTAAGATTTGCGAATGGTTCTTGCATTCTTAAGCTCAAATAAATCCCGAGAAGCATTAATTTTTAAAGTTGAAGGTTGGAACTACAGGTTACGTTTTTTCCGGGAAAGATTTTATTAATTTTTCAAGCTTTATCCACGGCAAAGTCCATAAAATTATATGTACTTTGTGCACCAGAAAATAAGTAGAGAAATCCGCAACCCCTCGCCAACCGACCGACTGCAAGTGCTGTGTGGCTTGAAAGGCATCGAATTACAGAGAATAGTATAATTTGGTTAAAAAAAGTCATGAGTTTTACAAGACTAAATTAAAAAAAATAAGACAGAAATAAATACCAAATTATATACTAAAGCGAAGCAGGAAACTTGGAAACTGATAGTGCATCAAAACTATAGTGAGAATATAATAGAACACGCTTGAGAATGAAAAGTTAAGAATAAATCATTTAGAAAATGAAATGAACGAAACCCATGGCTGCAGCGTAGATCCCTAGATATTGACTTTTGCCTAGCCTACGTGTTGAATGTGTGTAGTTATATTGCACTGAACATCCCCCACCCCCCCCCCCCCCCCCCGGTTAAGTTTTATATAATTCCATACGCTCACTTTTATTTTTTTTAATTTTTTTCCTTTTTTTAATTAAAAAAAATTATACCAGGTCATTAAAATAAGAAATTTAATTACGACCAAATTTCAAAAAAAAAAAAAAAAAAAAACTGAAAACAAAAATACTGCGGAAATAATTGAATTACAAATATTAAAAATGTTAATACTGAATATATTTATGAATATTTACAAATGCTACCAAAGATAGTATTTCTAAAGGTGAAAAAGAAAAGTGCTCGGAATTTATAAGTTTGCACATTGAGAAAAAAAATTCAATTAAAAAAATGAAAGATCGATCCGCGCCCAGTGGTAGGCATCTCCTCGCATGGCCGTGCGAAGGCCAAACGCCGGTTGCATAATAGCAGGGGCGCGCCGGCACGTTTTACCTCTCCCATCCAGCACTATTATTTTCGCATCGAAACACAGTAAACACACCCCGGCGAATATCACGTCACCCCGTCGGCGGGCGCGACCCGGCGGCCCGACCCTTCGGAGGGGGCGCCCTCGCTGACACCCCCGGACTCTTCGTATCGCCGGCGCGCAGCACCGTTCGGCCCGTACGGCCTCGGGACGCGTTTTCTGCGGCCTAACCGGAACGAAATCTGTAAATCCGGTGATTAGGGTCGACGCGCAATTTCACTGCCAACACGCCGATGCCGTCAAACCGAACGGCGCACCCGTAGCAGCGGACGAGTTACGTTTGGCGAGGAGAAGGTGCGGAAAAAAGTGCTAAAACCGGCGGTTTCGGGGCCGCGGCGCCGACCCGGGCCGGCGGGTCGGCGCCGCCGTCTAGGTATTCGTGGGAGGCGCAGTGCCGCGTCGTCCGAGGCCCTTCCCGTAAGGTTTCACCGGTCCGATAGGAAGCGGCCAAAAGGCGGCAAATTTAGAGGGGCCGGCGGCGCCGAACGCGGCGCCGCGGGTGGGTTCAGAGGTGGCGAAAGTTTGGGGGCCGCGCGAAGAAACCGGGCGATTTCGACATTTTTTTCGATTCGGAACGAACCTATGAATATGTAGTCGATCAGCATCAGCAGGTACGGAAACGGACCAGCTCTTCCTGCGCGAGTGCTCGTCAGGGTCAAGTCAAGACACACGCAGCAGATAGTCTGAAAGAATAAACAAAATCAGTCATGGGAATGTTTGCAGGACAGCAGAAACAATTTATTCTTTAATTTCAAACTGCAGAAAAAGTTAAAATGCAAAAGAAAATTTAGAAAACATAATATGAATCGAACGATCTTATGAAAATTTTTTTGAGTTTCAATTTTCTGGATGGAAAATTAACACCCTAAATCTAAAGCAACATGTATAAAAAATGCATCAAGTTGAATATTGGAAATTAAGGAACAGTTTAAACATAGCTAAAAACAAATTACCTCTTAAAGGACTGACGAAAATGCGATTTGAAATTGTCAACATTATTTTGACAACCAGAATCCAGAATGCTTTGCAGAAACCGTGGGGAACAACAAAATGGCGGCCGCCGGCATCAAGTGCCAACCGAACAAATTTCGCAATGACGTCACCCACGGTGAATCAACCAATAGAGACAAACAAAATCGAAAACTACTGCGATTTTCCTTGATGGCGATTTGGTTTGGTTGATCGCGAGGTGGGCCACATATTAGATCCGAACAAAATAAATTGAAAAATAATTTCGAATGAAATTTTATAAAATTAAATCTTGATAATTCTTTGACATGACCGTTTTGTTGAAATCAGTGGATTAAATTTTTTCTAATTTTCTGTGACGCCTGAGACATAAAAAATATAAAAAGGGTTTACTTCAGGAGAATGGTGCCATTTTTTTTTTTAAATTAATGCAAAAAGGTCGCAGATTTTGTATGGGCTGATAGTTGATACTATACTCAATTGAAATAACATAAAATTTTAAGCAGAAAACAGTTAATTATGGAAATTGCACATTTTATGGGCTCTAGCAAGTTTTTTTTAGTCAAATGAGAAATTTTTTTATAGTTTTTATTTTCTTTTGATCGTCTTGTACATGTACAAAAAGTATCAATGCACATATACACAAATTTCCAATTAATTATGGTTATTAATTATGTATGTCATTAAAGAGCACGTGCAAGGGAGAGAATGACAGAAATCATTAAAACGAAGCGCAATATCTCTTTATCTACACACATCACTTCTGTTTAAATAAAAAATAACAGACTATGTATGAGCTGCGAAAAGGAGAACACACTAGTTTTTATGAGAAAATTTTCTCACTTTAATATTACTTAAAATTGCTACCTCTTTACAGAAACTTTGCTAAATTGTACAGAGCGCAGCATATAAAGATTGGTAATGCGTTAAAAAATAATCTTTGGGGTTATGATTCAGACCATATATTCTAATTTAAATTTTAAATCAAGCTCAAGTTGCTTATATAGCACATACATTATTAATTAGTGAATATAAATATAAGTCAATGGGAACACATAAGAGTATTTAACTTAAATTAGCACACTCTAGTGCTCACTAGTTTTCAAGTATCAATTTCTCAACACATATCATCATAAGTAGAAGTTTAGCTTTGGAGCACACAAATTTTATCCTATACACTATTTCACCCAGTTAAAAAAGTCACTAGTGATGAACTGAAAGTGCCTGACGTTTTGTCTTCCCACTCTTTTGGTGCAAGTCATCTTACCCTTGCAAGCTGGAGAGTACTTAAAGGTGTAAACTGTATCTTTAGGTGTATCTTCAGTGATGATCTTCTTGATAGAGTTGAGAAACTTAGATACAGCTTGCAGACACACCTCGATCCTCGGATGCACAACGGTACTATCAGGGTGGCTCTCTTTGAAGAGTTGCTATGGAAATAAAGTTTTATAGTCAAAATAAAAACTTTTAAGGAATTATTGAAAGACATACTTGACAGATTTATGATGCTGAAGTTAGCGTCATCCACATCCACATCCACATCCTCATCCACATGTGGATAGAATTGTTCCGTCAAACTCGAGCCTCATATATCGCCATAAGGTTAACATGTCCACATCCACATCCACACCGTGTGGATGACGCTATCCTCATCCACATCCTCATCCTCATCCACATCCTCATCCACATCCACATCCTCATCCACATCCACACGTAAAAATATTTTAAATTGAAATTAAAAAATAAAAATAAAAAATAATTTTTTTTTAATTTTTGTCAAAATTAAATTAAATTGTCTTGTTATCTTCTGTAATAATTATCACATTTAAAATCACGCTAAAAAGTGTTTATCCACACGTGCACCCTCCATCCACACCGTGTGGATGACGCTATCCACATCCTCATCCACATCCACATCCACATCCTCATCCTCATCCACATCCACATCCACATCCACATCCTCATCCACATCCACATCCTCATCCACATCCTCATCCACATCCTCATCCACATCCACATCCACATCCACATCCTCATCCACATCCACATCCTCATCCACATCCACACGTAAAAATATTTTAAATTGAAATTAAAAAATAAAAATAAAAAATAATTTTTTTTTAATTTTTGTCAAAATTAAATTAAATTATCTTGTTATCTTCTGTAATAATTATCACATTTAAAATCACGCTAAAAAGTGTTTATCCACACGTGCACCCTCCATCCACACCGTGTGGATGACGCTATCCATATCCTCATCCACATCCACATCCTCATCCACATCCACACGTAAAAATATTTTAAATTGAAATTAAAAAATAAAAATAAAAAATAATTTTTTTTTAATTTTTGTCAAAATTAAATTAAATTATCTTGTTATCTTCTGTAATAATTATCACATTTAAAATCACGCTAAAAAGTGTTTATCCACACGTGCACCCTCCATCCACACCGTGTGGATGACGCTATCCACATCCTCATCCACATCCACATCCTCATCCACATCCACATCCTCATCCACATCCACATCCTCATCCACATCCACACGTAAAAATATTTTAAATTGAAATTAAAAAATAAAAATAAAAAATAATTTTTTTTTAATTTTTGTCAAAATTAAATTAAATTATCTTGTTATCTTCTGTAATAATTATCACATTTAAAATCACGCTAAAAAGTGTTTATCCACACGTGCACCCTCCATCCACACCGTGTGGATGACGCTATCCACATCCACATCCACATCCTCATCCACATCCACATCCTCATCCACATCCTCATCCACATCCACATCCTCATCCACATCCTCATCCATATCCACATCCACATCCTCATCCACATCCTCATCCACATCCTCATCCTCATCCACATCCACATCCTCATCCACATCCACACGTAAAAATATTTTAAATTGAAATTAAAAAATAAAAATTAAAACTAATTTTTTTTTAATTTTTGTCAAAATTAAATTAAATTATCTTGTTATCTTCTGTAATAATTATCACATTTAAAATCACGCTAAAAAGTGTTTATCCACACGTGCACCCTCCATCCACACCGTGTGGATGACGCTATCCACATCCTCATCCACATCCTCATCCTCATCCACATCCACATCCTCATCCACATCCACATCCACATCCTCATCCACATCCACATCCACATCCTCATCCACATCCACACGTAAAAATATTTTAAATTGAAATTAAAAAATAAAAATAAAAAATAATTTTTTTTTAATTTTTGTCAAAATTAAATTAAATTATCTTGTTATCTTCTGTAATAATTATCACATTTAAAATCACGCTAAAAAGTGTTTATCCACACGTGCACCCTCCATCCACACCGTGTGGATGACGCTATCCACATCCTCATCCACATCCACATCCACATCCTCATCCACATCCACATCCACATCCACATCCTCATCCACATCCACATCCTCATCCACATCCACACGTAAAAATATTTTAAATTGAAATTAAAAAATAAAAATTAAAAATAATTTTTTTTTAATTTTTGTCAAAATTAAATTAAATTATCTTGTTATCTTCTGTAATAATTATCACATTTAAAATCAGGCTAAAAAGTATTTATCCACACGTGCACTTTCCATCCACACCGTGTGGATGACGCTATCCACATCCACATCCACATCCACATCCACATCCACATCCTCATCCACATCCTCATCCATATCCACATCCACATCCTCATCCACATCCTCATCCTCATCCACATCCACATCCTCATCCACATCCACACGTAAAAATATTTTAAATTGAAATTAAAAAATAAAAATTAAAAATAATTTTTTTTTAATTTTTGTCAAAATTAAATTAAATTATCTTGTTATCTTCTGTAATAATTATCACATTTAAAATCACGCTAAAAAGTATTTATCCACACGTGCACTTTCCATCCACACCGTGTGGATGACGCTATCCACATCCACATCCTCATCCACATCCACATCCACATCCTCATCCACATCCACATCCTCATCCACATCCTCATCCACATCCTCATCCACATCCACATCCTTATCCACATCCACACGTAAAAATATTTTAAATTGAAATTAAAAATAAAAATAAAAAATAACTTTATTATTTGTTGTGTGGATAATATTACTTAATTTTGAGAAAAATTAAAAAAAAAAATTTTTTGATTTTTATTTTTTAATTTCTTTTTTCAAATATTTTTAGGTGTGGATGTGGATGAGGATGTGGATGTGGATGAGGATGTGGATGTGGATGAGGATGTGGATGAGGATGTGGATAGCGTCATCCACACGGTGTGGATGGAGGGTGCACGTGTGGATAAACACTTTTTAGCGTGATTTTAATTGTGATAATTTTTACAGAAGATAACAAGATAATTTAATTTAATTTTGACAAAATTAAAAAAAAGTTATTTTTTATTTTTATTTTTTAATTTCAATTTAAAATATTTTTACGTGTGGATGTGGATGAGGATGTGGATGTGGATGAGGATGTGGATGAGGATGTGGATGGGGATGTGGATGTGGATGAGGATGTGGATGTGGATGAGGATAGCGTCATCCACACGGTGTGGATGTGGATGTGGACATGTTAACCTTATGGCGATATATGAGGCTCGAGTTTGACGGAACAATTCTATCCACATGTGGATGAGGATGTGGATGTGGATGTGGATGACGCTAACTTCAGCACGGTACAGATTTGGAGAAGTTCTTCTTGTGATAATTCCTCGATCTTCTCAATTTTCTTGCAGTTGTTGCTTCTCACCCCAATAATGGTACTGCTAATATTCCCTGCCAAACACCGAAGTAATTTTGGGAACATGTTCCTCCTGGAAAAAAGTAATAAATACAAAAATAAAACCTGCTAGTTTTCAAAATATAACAAATTTAAGTACTATTTAATTTCTTAACCTACAGTTTATATGGTTTAGTAGCCGTCTTTAGTTCGAACATCTTGTATTTGCTGAACTCTTCTAGTTCTTCCTCTGAACGAATGGCTTTGAATTTGTTTTGCACCAGCAGGACATGATCCCCTACAGTTACTTTGTCCACACTGTACAGCTCAGACTCTCTTCTATTGAAAGGTACATCCAATTTTGGCAGCTCATTCGGTCCATCTATTTTAAGAATTAAAAAATTGATAATAATTTCGAATTATGTGCATTTAAAAAAAAAATCAATAAATAAATCAAATACATACTCGACAGGACATGTTTTAGAAACATAAATCCAGCAGTGCTACTGTTCAAAGGCAAATATGCACCCTTGAACTCTTTTGTCTCTGCTCTTATGCTCTTCTCTTCGTCCGTGTAAAACGTAGAGAGGTAAATCTTCCCCTTCACTTTTACAGCCGAAATGATGAAGCCGAAGCTGTGTTCAAAATCAAAGGTTTTGTCGTGCAAGTAGGGTATACTCATGATGTGGTCAAGTTCTAATCTAGAGCACACAAAACCAACATCGGGGCTGTTGAAAAACACATGCAAAAAAGTCAATTCAAACAATAAGCCTAAATAAAGTAAATCTTACTAGGCATGCTCAAAACTTGTTGGTTTTGGGAAATTGTCCATGACCCACATGGTGATCTCATTAATATTCTCATTTATGTTGACTGGAAAATTGCGCAAGTCTTCAGGTTGCATGATGTTCAAATCTAGGTTTACATTTGAAGGGTCTTTAGGCAGGTGAAGATACTTAGTGGCAACACGATTTCCACAAAAGACACCTTCGCTGAGTCCGAAAAAGTCTTTTCGTTCTAAACTCCACCTCACATTCCTCCCCAGATCTGTAGTTGCTGTCTCAAAGGTAGAAAAAGTGATATCTTTCAACTGGGTTAAGTCTGCTCTTTTATAGTTTTGACAGTCCTTGGGCCCTTTCTTGACTTCAAATCGGGCTTTTCCTTCGTCATCAGAGTCATCCGAGAAATCAGACTTGATATCTGTGGGTCTGCTTGCTCTCCATGTATGCCGGACGTTAACATTCTTCAATTTGTCATTAGGCGTAGATCTCTTCTTTTCATACTTTTTGCACCACGAGTCTGCAGAAGAGGCCACTGACACTACAGACAGTGCGGGAGAAGTTGATCTTTTGCTGGCTGGCCCTCTACTCCAGAAATTTTCTAGATTTATGTAACAGAAAATTTCCAATTATAATCTTACAATTTTAGGTATATATACATAAAATGAAAAAGTATAGTGTGCATGAATGTATAATAAAATTACCTCGAGATTGAAATGTAGTTACTTGTCCTGTCCCTTGCAATGCAATTGGTCCGAATCGATTGACTTTCTTATTTATGTCCATGTTATCCTCTAGTTTCATTCCGTTGTTCGACTGTCTACATAATCTGTCCATTCTGTTTTTGTTCAGCAGGTTCGCGTTGCCGAACTTTGGTTGCTGCATATTTTCAGTTAATGCTGCGAGTTATGAAGCTGCTGAAAATGAAAATACACATAAATAATAAAAACAATGCAGACTCAAGCACATGAATGAAAACATGACTGTGTGGACTTGTGAGTGCATGCGTAATACTGGACACAGTGGCCACAAAACATGCTTTATTGGACAAATGTTGTGGAAGTTAATTAATTATTACATAAATTATACCAATTATGTACACATTTACCAGAAAATATTCTGCATAAACGGAGAAAGAAGAAAGTGTGCTGCATGCTGTCGAAAATCAGGGGAAGTACCGGAAAGTGAATACGATTCTAACGAACGACAAAAAACAAGTTCATGCGTGTCTTAGCAGAAAACCAGCGTGAAAACGCGCGGCAATGGACGGCAAAGGCATCAAATTACGCGCACTAATATCTACTTTGAAAAGCAGCAATAAACTGTTATGCACCTGCAATACTCAATCGTTAGTAATTAGTAAACTTATATTTGTTAGATTATACATTTTAAAATTTCTAAGAGTTGCTAAAATCGCCCAATACTTATTACAAGATTGCACCAAGGTCAGGTAAAATTTGTTACAAAGTTTTGTTGCAGATGTAGATGTCCTCGCGCATAGTCGATTTTCCACTGGCGTGCAGTGCTGACCTCTGGTGAGGCTGGCGCGAACCGCCGCCGGCGACAACAAAGAGAGGCAAAGCACACTCGGTGCTCTGGTTCGGCGCCAGCCCGTGCTGCTTGTGTGTGCCTCTCGTCGGCGAATTGGGCCCCGAATTCGGCAGTTTCGCACGTTCGGACAGTTGGAGAATCGACGGTCGGTATCGGGACGTCTGCCGCGTCGTCGCGCCGCCGAGTGACAGCGCCCGCGTTTTCGGCGCCGCCGCCACCGTCGACGTCGGTCGGCGGCGACACGTGTGTGACACCTGCCAGTGTGGAGACCCATGTCGGACACTTTTTACCCGTGACGACAGACCCTGGCAGGACGAACTCGAAGCGCAATGGCGAGCAACGAGGCCGCGAGGTGCCGCAGGAAGCAGGCCAAACCGCAGAGGAAAAAAGGTGAATTAATATTTTCTTATGTATTTATTTTTTCACCGACAAAGCAGGAACGGAAACACACTCCTTATCAGTCCGCAGATAAAAAATTCTTTTCAAATATATTGTAAAAAACAATTAAACAATTTATTCCGAAATTTTTTTTGCTCTAAATTAAATTCTTTAAGTTATTCAAATTATTAATATTTAAATAAAAAGAATCAAAAGAATGTTGCACGTTTTGCGGGAAATTTTGTAATTCATTGTTATTTTTGGCCCGTCGAGCCAATAAGTGACTGTGATTGGTGCTCGAAGATGTTGAGAGCGCGTTTGACGGGTGTCGCGGTCGCGTCCACCCACGCGGAGAACAACTCCGGAGTCGAGCTTTCTTGGGAGCAAAAATTTACAGATGGTTCGAAATGCCGGAAATTAAATTTTTTAACAGATCTGCAAAAGTAGTCATAAGTCATAAAAATAATTAAACACTAAATTGTCATTGAATTTTTTAAGGCAGTGGAAAATATAATTTATTTTTTCAAATAAGTTTTAAATTTTCATTTAAACATGGAGTTGATGACTCTTTTAATATATAAACCTCACGATTTAATCTTCTCAGTTTTCGTCACTCCTCGCGACCTTGCGAGTTTGAAAACAATTTTCAAGTTTTGGCTACCTGCAGACGTAAGCTGTATGAAAATTGTGTTTGCGATTATAAAGCGCTTCCTTGAGCCCGAAAACGTTAAACAAAAACACAGCAATTGCGAATTGTGATTCTAAACTTGACACAAATTACTGTGTGCAAAATGCATCAGCTGTGACAACACAGAAAACGTGTCACCACCTAGAAAGTTTTTAAGCACATCAAATTAAATTTTTATTGTTTTTACTTAGGGCTATTTTTGATTGGAAGGTTATGAAGAATAAAAAAATCATTTATTCGTCTTTAAAAAAACTAAATTTTACAAGGCTGATAAGTTTAATTTATTATTTTGTTGGTATATTCGCACTGATTTGCACTGTGCTTAAAATTTTGGTCAGGGAAGCGGTTAATTTTATTGAAAATTTTTATTTTTTCTAAAATTATTTATCTTTATGATATTACAATATTATATTGTATAATTAAGTGTTACATCATTTTGAAGCCCAAAATAATTGTGATAATTAAAAAAAAATCAAAGAATTAATATAGAAAACAGATAGAAAATAAAAATAAAATTTTTTTTGATTAGTTTCTGAAATAAATAAAAGCATAAATGAATTATTGCTGGTCAGAATTTTATAATAAAAAATTACAATTAGAAAACATTTAATTTGTTTTATAAATCCCAAAAACTGTTATCAAAAGCTGATATGATTCCGATTATTCACAAGGAAAAAAGTGGGTCCCGCACCAGCAATCTCCTGTTCATTCGTTTTCTCTGCTCTCTGCATCTGTCTGATGATGTGGCGGCCATGATGTTTGTGGGTGGGTGGGTGGGACGGTCGGGAGGTGGAGATGAGACTAAAAAACAGATAAAAAGATTCCCCCGCGCGCTGCCGCCGGTGTGCCATGGCCCGTTGTATAACTCAATGCTGATGATGATGTATGTACCGCGCACGGCGAACGAGAGGGGCCATCATCGATGTTATATAGGACGAAATAATGCTGGTAAATAAACAGGTGATTTATGTCCGCGGATGCTTTTCGGACCACTTGGCCGCCGAGGAGAGCGGCCGAAAGCTGCTCACCAACAACTTCTACGTCATCATAAGATGACAAGAGCAGAAGTTAGATAAAAATAGGTGTAATTTTGTGAGAAAGGAATAAAATATTTAATATTATCAAATTCTTGAAAATAAATTTCAGATGGCAAATGATAGTGTCAAAAAACAACTTCTTAAATTTCAATAATAACACAATATCTTTATTTTTTTTTCGACATTTCGGACATTTCCAAATTTATGATAAATTAAGAGAAAAATTTATAAATTCTTTTGAATGTAAAAATTGACTCATAATACGATTTCTTTACATAAGAAATTTATAAATTAAATCAAATGCTTTTAGATAAAATTTAAAAGGGTAATCAACTGTTTCAGCTAAAGAAATGTTTATTTTATGCTTTTGGATTTTAATTTAAAATTGTGTCAAATACAGTCGAATATTAAAATTTAATTGTTTTCCATATTTCAATTCATTTTATTACAATTTATTTTATGTTATTATGTTTTATTCAATTTAATTTTATTTAAATTAAATTTTTTTATTTTGCTTTATTTAATTCTAATTTATAAATTTTATAATAAAATATAATTAATTCTTAAATTACTGCACAAAGTTGAAATTAGACTGTAAAATCGCTGAGTAGGTGTCACAAAGGCCGCACTGATTGTGAGTCGTGCAATTAAACCCAAATGAAAATAAATCACCGAACGTACAAAGCGGCAGCGAAACGTCCGTCCAATCGCACACATATTCAAATATACACACGCCTTTTAGTACACAACGCTCGGAGTATAGAGAGTGTCAATTGAGAGCGCGCAAAAGAGAGGATAAAGGGGATGAAAAAAATAGCAGCGGCGAGGGTGATTTATTCGCAATAAATATAAAAGGCCTGATAAATCAACAGAGCCGAAGAATGAAAGAGTACGAAAGTAAAAAAAGAAAGTTTTGTGGAAAATGTGCGAATCGAAAATATTGTTTCACCTGTCGGAAGGAAGTCGGCTCAATAAATACACACTGGCCGGTCGGGTCGTTCGTCGCCAACTTTTCCTCCTGCACTCTCGCCAAACAAAAATATTTTCGCTCCCCCGCGTATGGAAAAAGTTGGACATATTTGGTAGCGAGCACCGGCGGCGCAATATTAGGAAAATCTATCACTTCTTCCTCATATGCTGCGCCGGTGGCGTGTGAGAGAGAAGCGAGCAACCCGCCCGCTTGCGCGATTTATTGCCCCACGTACCTTTAATGGAGAGTAAAAATAGATGGATGTGTGCGAAGAGCATTTCGCTGAATCAGCCGCACAAAGCGACCCTTGTCCGCTTATTGTTGCAAAAGCATCCATCTTCTGCGAAACATTCACTGGAAAAATTCAAAACAAAAATTTGTACATTTATTGAAAATGAATCTAAACTTTTGATTTAAATTAATTTCTTAACTATTTTTAAGTATTGAAAAATATAAAATCTGTCAATAGTTTTAAAGGAATTAAAAATGAATCTCATTTTTTTTTTATAGCTTTTGATTCCTGTAAAAAATCTTAATTTTATAAATTCCTTCTCTGCCGGTGTCGCTTTTCGAGCAACTCTCAGCGAGATATTATTTATAGATGCAAATTGCGGCTTTTGTTTTTTTCCCCGGTTGCAAAACAACGCACGATGCGCTTCGCCGCCTGCCTCAAAAGCAAAATATTGAGAGCTGTATGCGCGCACACGGCGGCTCTTCTCGTTAATTGCACCAGCGAAAACATTACACATGCACACACTACAGGCCTTTTCCCTCGATTTATTTCTAGCAAGAGGTGTACCTCGGCAAGACAGAATTGCTTTTCTCTGTGCAAAAGCGTCGACAAACACCGCAGCAATCCAACGTGTGATGACTCGCACCCACGGCGTCAATGAATCATGATTAATTATAAGACTGAAATAACTTCAACTTAATTACAAGTATTTTAATTTTTTTTACATTATTGTTGTTTATTTGTCTAAAATGTTAAATCTAATTGTTTACATTTAATTTTTGTACAAAATTTATTTGAAATAAGGAATTTTTTGACAAAACTGCAAGAATTTTGCTGAAACTCCCGAGATAAAAAAGACCCCATCTGCCGCTGTGAGCTTCAAAGAAGAAATTATGATATTTAAGGTTTTTTAATCAAGTTCATAAATTTTAAAAGCTGCCTTGCTTTAAAGTAATTTTGTTGTCAAATAATTTATTTTATCAAAATATTTCATTTAATTGGTTTTATTTAATGATTTCATTAAAAAAATAAAAAAATATATTTTATTAATTCAAATATAATTATCAACATATTAAATAAAACAAATTTTTTTTATGCAATTATGCATTCATGGCACTGTAAAAACAAATAAAAACCAGAGACAAGCGAGTTTCCTCTTTACCATTGTAGTCGTTACCACTTCGGCTCTCGGAATTGAAATAATAATAATTCGTGCTCGCGACGAGTGTCATTGTGCCGCGTCGTTCTTTGCTCCTCTATACGGCCGTCGTCGTGTCATTCTCTCTTGCTCGGGTTTTATTTTTAGGATCGCAATCTTCCGTTTTGCGCGCGCTGTTGTTACAAACCGACGACCCATGCTAGTTGTTGCTGCATCAAAATAAAAAAAAAGAGCGTCGTCTTTTTTTCCTCCGAAATAACTTCCATACATACATACGCGTGTGTAAAGCGAAATAGGGCGGCAGAAAGGGCACAGAGCCCATAAGAGGATGTGCTGTGTCCGCTTTACATATTAGTCGAGAGAAAGAAAAAGAGATTCGCCGCTTTGGACCGCGGCCAAAGTCAATACACAGAGGGCATTTTTGCTCACTCATTAAACGGGGGGACGAGCGGCACTAATGCCGCAGTTTCGCCAGAATGTAATTGAAATTTGGACGCCTGTAAAAATAAAAACGAAAAATATTATTAATTTTTTTTTAAGGAAAAAAACCTACTTTGTTTACAGATAATTTATGATTTCCATCTC